CCCCCCGCCGCAGCCATCGGATGGCCGCGCCAATTGGGGAGTGGTTCGAGGAGGGTGCGCTTACAAAATGACGGCGGGCTTTTCCCAACCAACTTGTGTTGTTGGGTCCTTGTTTTGAACATACGGTCCCCGCGTTCCCTCCCTCCTTCCTTCCTTCCTTCCTTCCTGCTCCTCCCTCCTCCTCCTCATCCTCACGTTCCTCCTTCATTTCGTGGCCCCATAGGGAGCTCCACCGAAGGTTCCAGTGGGACCGCCCGCATGCGTCATCCACCACCCAGTACAACACTTCGTGGCCCCATAGAGAGCTCCACCGAAGGCTCCAGTGGGACCGCCCGCATGCGGCATCCACCACCCAGTCGCGCTTCGTGGCCCCATAGAGAGCTCCACCGAAGGCTCCAGTGGGACCGCCCGCATGCGTCATCCACCACCCAGTACAGCGCTTCGTGGCCCCGTAGGGGGCTCCACCGAAGGCCCCAATGGAACCGCCCGCATGCGTCATCCACCACCCAACGCAGCGCTTCTTGGCCCCGTAGGGAGCCCCACCGAAGGCCCCAGTGGGACCGCCCGCATGCGTCACCCACCACCCAGCGCAACACTTCGTGGCCCCACAGGGAGCTCCACCGAAGGCTCCAGTGGGACCGCCCGCATGCGGCATCCACCACCCAGTCGCGCTTCGTGGCCCCATAGAGGGCTCTACCGAAGGCCCCAGTGGGACCGCCCGCATGCGTCATCTACCACCCACCCATCGGGGGCTCCACCGAAGGCCCCAGTGGGACCGCCCGCGTGCGTCATCCACCACCCAGTACAGCGCTTCTTGGCCCCGTAGGGAGGCCCACCGAAGGCCCCAGTGGGACCGCCCGCTTGCGTCATCCACCATCTAGTACAGCGTTTCGTGACCCCGTAGGGAGCTCCACCGAAAGCTCCAGTGGGACCGCCCGCGTGCGTCATCAACCACCCAGTACAGCGTTTCGTGGCCCCGTAGGGAGCTCCACCGAAAGCCTCAGTGGGACCGCCCGCATGCGTCACCCATCACCCAGCGCAACATTTCGTGGCCCCACAGGGAGCTCCACCGAATGCTCCAGTGGGACCGCCCGCATGCGTCACCCACCACCCAGTACAGCGCTTCGTTGCCCCATAGAGGGCCCCACCGAAGGCCCCCGTGGGACCGCCCGCATGCGCCATCCACCACCCAGTACAGCGTGTCGTGGCCCCATTGGGAGCTCCACCGAAGCCCCAGTGGGACCGCCCGCATGCGTCATCCACCCCCCAGTACAGCGTTCCCCACAGGGAGCTCCACCTAAGGTCTCCGTGGTGGAACTCGCATGGCGGCCCAGTGGCGGAGTTCGCATGGCGGCGACTTTCGATGTCCAGAGGTTTGTCGTCGTATTCGACGTATTGAGTCCGTTTTCGGGCCGCGCATCCCGTGCGGGAGCCAGCCTGCTCGCTCTCTCTGCTCCGCGCATCGGACTACCCGCGCGCGTCGCGGGGACTCCGTGCGGCGCCGCGCCCGCAGCCTTGGACGCGGGCGTGCACGGGCAAAGAGGGAGAAGAAGAATGGGAAGGAAGCGGGCGCGGTCCTCGCGAGAGGCGCGCCGACATGGGCGTCGACATTTATGCACGTAGACTCACGCGCGCGCAGACTCATCCACAGTCAGACTCACTCGCTCTCAGTCTCCCGCACACAGACCTATCGTCTTCGCTCGCGTTGTGTGCCCCGCATCGCATGTCGGCACGCCCCTCACACGGTTCGTGGCCCCAAAGGGAGCGCGGGCGAAGATGATATTCATAATTGCGGTATTGACAGCTGCGTATGGTTGGGTCCTTCGCCAGGCTAATTATGTTAGACACGGGGGTGTTTTAGAAACCCGCCTGGCCTCTGAAGAGCCTCCTAAGAAGTTGGGTGGGCCTCCTCCGCGCACTCGCACACAGCTGTCTCTCTTCCGTGACGTTGTACCATAAGCTGGTCAAGCCTTAGTGGGGCACGCCGGCGAAAAACGCAGGCGTACCCTTGACGAGCGCATGTGAGGAAAACCGTGTCCTCACGGGTAAGGAGCAGACGGCAGTCCGAAGCCAGCGGGCGACATGATCAAACACGCAACCGTTTTGGGGTTTTCGTGGGGCGTCTCAGGGTTCCCTTGGAGGTCTCCTGGGCGGTCCTTGGGCGCTATTGTAGTTTTGTTGGGGCCGTCCTGGAGCGTTAAAACGCAAGAAAACAGACATCCCGTCAAAACCGAAAAGAGAATGAATGATTTTGGCCTCGTAGGGCCCTCTTGGGGGTGCTCGTGGGACACTTTTGGAGCTTCTTTGAGGCCTCTTTGGCCGTCTTCACACAAACCAAACAAAATCTGGAGGATCTGGGGGCGACTCAAGATTCTCGTGGGCAGTCTTCGCAGCCTCATCGGTCCCTGCAGGCCCGTTTTGGGATCTCCCAGGCTTCTAGGAGACGCACGCAACGCACCCCAGAAGCTCCCGCCCAGGAGAGCCCGGGAAATTGGGCGCCCGAGTCATCAGGAATGCAGAATCCGAGTCTTCAGGAATGCAGAATCTTGGCTGCAGCAGCAGCACCGCTGCGAGCCTTGGGGTGCTCCACTTCGTGCCAAGCGCACGGTGGCTGTTTAGGATGCTTCGCTGGGTATGTTCTGGTTCTCTGCTGCGCACGCTGCAGCTTGGAGCTCGAGCTGCTGGATCAGCACGAGCATTGGAGTGGCCGTCCAGGGTGAACAAGCGGCGACAGTGGCGATGAATGAGGTGAGCAAAGGGCCAGATCAAACCAGTGGAAGCGAAGGTTCGGCAGGGCGAACGAACACGGTAGCACCTATCGTGGTGGCGGCTGTCGGCGCGGCGATCGCGCAGCTGGCGCGCAACCAGCTGAACGAGGCGGAGGACCACAACGCTGGTGGAGGAGCGCCTGGAGCGGCAGGGTTCGGGGCGCCCGGAGTTGAAGAAGCCGCTGAAGGCGCCGCCCCACAGCAAGTGGTGCCTGGTGCGCGCGGAGGAAGAGACAGAGGTCGCGGTCGCGGTCGCGGGTTAGGCAACCAGCGGGTGTTCCGCGCAGCCTGCGAGCACCACGCGGCGTCGACGAGGACCATGATTCGGAACTGTGCCCGCGCAGGGCCGTGAATCGACAGAGGGATGTTCTACGCCGTCCGCAGACAGGATTGCACCCTCGCAGGCGGGATGGATGGGTGAGCCAGTTGCGATGGCGAGGAGGCGCCGCAGCAGATCGAGGGAAGCCCAGGGATGAGCGAGTCTGAGGCAGGCTTGTCCCTGCGCGGTGAGCAGCCCCCGCGCGAATGCATCTTGCGGCGTCGGTCCGCTCGAAATCCTGGCCGTGTCGGCCCCTTGTGGCTGGCGGGTGGCCCTTCCTTGGGGTAAGGGTGCTTGACCGCCGCGCCCGCGGGCCTGTGCGGGGGGCGGGGCCCCTGTCGTGGCTCCTGCTGGCCTCAGGCGGCAGGGGGCGAAGCGGAGGATTTGTCGATCCGGGCGTCCGCGACGTGGTCTTCGTCGCCGGCTGCGCCGAGGTCCGCTCGTGCAGCTTCTATGTTTGTCGCGCGGCTGCAGCCCCTGGTCTGGGGAAGTGTTCGAAGCGCTCTCGACGCTCGCGCCACTGGAGGGGAACCATCATCATCGTCATCATCATCATCATCATCATCAGCATCATCAGCATCATCATCATCATCAGCATCATCATCCTCATCATCCTCATCATCACCATCATCACCATCATCATCATCATCATCCTCATCCTCATTATCATTATCATCATTATCAGCGTCATCATCACCATCAGCATCACCATCATCATCATCAGCATGACCAGGATCACCTTCATCACCGTCATCGTCATCATCACCGCCATTACCGCCACAATCACCATCACCATCCTTAGTATCAAAATATCACCACCACATTCACCACCACCATCGTCACCACCACCACCATCATCATCATCATCATCATCATCATCATCATCATCATCATCATCATCATCGTCATAACCATCACCATCACCATCAGCATCATCATCAGAAGCATCATCGGCATCAGCATTATCATCGTCAGCGTCAGCGTCATAGTCATTACAATCATCCGTACCATCATCATCAGCATCAGCATCATCAGCACCATCATCGTCGTCGTCACTATCATCACCACCATCATTAGCAGCATGCGCATCACCATCATCATCATCATCATCATCATCATCATCATCATCATCATCATCATCATCATCATCATCATCATCTTCATCGCCACCATCATCATTAGCATCGTGATTATCACCATCGTCCTCATCATTACCATCATCATGATCATCACCATCATAAGTATCATCACCCTTATCATCATCACCACGATCACCCTCATCGCCACCATCACCATCATCATCACTATCATCATCAAAATCACCATCATCATCAGCAGCATCATCATCATAATCGCCGTCATCACCGTCATCGTCATCATCACCGTCCACTGCATCATCATAATTGGTATCGTCAGCATTACCACCATCATCACCATCACCACACCACCATCATCGCCGCCGTCCTCCTCCTCCTCCCCATCCTCCTCTTCCTCCTCCTCCTCCTCCTCCCCATCCTCCTCCTCCTCCTCCTCCTCCTCCTCCTCCTCCTCCTTAACGGCCAGCAGCACTTGCCCAGCGTGTCGCGCCGCCCGTTCTGGCCCACCACGCCCCGGCGCGAGGAGCCAGGCATGTCGCAGCTGACGACCATCCACGTTCCGAGCGTTCCCCAGCCTCTCGTCCCACGAGGCAGAGCGACATGCGAGCAGCGACACGCCAGGCAAATGCCCACCGTACGCCTGTTCTGTCGGGGTCGGGTACGACTTGGGTTCGCATTGTTGCACTTGGCACAGAGTGCCAAGGTAATGTCTTACCACGAAGTAGACAGAAGAGCAAGTGAGCCAGCAGAGCATGAAGCTTCTCCGACTGCTGCGCATTTACTCCCTCGTCTCCCGAAGCAACTGGACCTTCGTAGGAGGAATTGGCCGTGGAGCTGAAGAAGGTCTTTAAGACCACAGTGCAGGCGCAGGCGTTCATCAGTTGGGTGCGCGCTCTCAAGGCGACGAACACGCCGAAGGCTTCCCGCGGGGCGGCGAATGGGCGAGGAGGAAGAGGGAGAGCACAGGGAAAGGAGAGTGGGGGGAGCGCGTGGTGGAGAGCGGATGCGGGAGAAGGGGGAAGTTCTATCGCAGGGCTTCGGTTCGGGCGACTGGCTTGTGCGACTGGATCGTTCCTCCTCCTCTTGTTTCTCCTGCTCCTCCTACTCCTCGTGCTCCTCCTCCTTGTCTTCCTCCTCCTCCTCTTTCTCCTCCTCCTCCTCATGTTCCTCATGCTGCTGCTGCTCCTCCTCCTCCTCCTCCTCCTCCTCCTCCTCATGTTCCTCATGCTGCTGCTGCTCCTCCTCCTCCTCCTCCTCCTCCTCCTCCTCCTCATCGTCGACCTCCTCCTTCTCATGCCCCGCCTGCTCCTGCTGCTCCGTAACCATTTTGGCTCAAGGCTATGAGTTCCCCAGCGGATTGCACGGATACCGCTAGTCCGCGGCCAGTGCCAGGGCCTTTTGTGCTGTACATCCTTCATTTTTCCAGCCAGCAAGCACCTCAGGGGCTCACTGGTGGCCCGCTCCCGATACCACATCAGCAGGGCAATGCTGCTGGCAGCAAGGACACGTACACCAGCTGTTCGTCTTGCGGCAGCTGGGCTTGGGATTGGCGCCTCTCGTGGCAGAAGGGTATGTGCAAAGTATGTGGCACTCACCAAACAGGTTTCACCTAGCAACCGTGGCAGCGTGTCCTCAGCAGCAGCCCCAGCTCGTCCTGGCCTGGCTGGCTCTCGCAGAGGGAGTGGTCTGCGCTCCCAAAGGCTCTGCCTGATCCCGAGAAATTGCTCGGACAGTACCTCTCGGCCACTGGTCTCGCGGCGGATGCTGGTGCTTTGTCCCCCACGCAGCAGGTCCAAGCAGTCGCGGAGTGCACCAAGCCCAAGCCGAAGCCGCCGTGCCCGTATGTTGTTCTCCGCCGGGCCACGCCCCTCTGCGCGCCGAAGCAGGCCAAGCTCCCCAAGGCGTCCAAGACGCTCCTGGCTTCGGAGGCTTGGCTCCAGGAGCGCAAAAAACCGCCAGCTTCAGGCCCCAGGGAAGCTTTTCGAGGACAGCCAGGGAGGCCACTCAACCGGGTGATGCGGTCCAGTCAGGTCCCACGCACGTGGAGCCCACCTTCGGCGTCGACCCCCCCCCCCCCGCGTTCGATTGCCCCGACGAGCTCGGGGAAGCCGACCGACAGAAGCTGGAATAAGTTCAGAAGCAATAGCAGGAAGTATCGGCCCAAGCCAAGGGTCACAAGCGGGAGTTCAAGCAGCTGCCCGCCGCCGCCAAGCAGTCTCTCGGCCCCCAAGAAGAAGCGTCGCGCTGATGGCGGCGCCAAGGCTGACGAGTCCGCTGAGGTGCTGACTGCGGCCGCGGGCGCGGGTGCTGACGGTGGTGCTACGGGGCCAAGTCCAGGCTCCAAGGGCGGCCAGGGCGGCAAGACGGTCTCCAGGAGGTGCGCGACCGCCTAGTTGCCTCCATCGCGCCGGCTTCCCGCGAGGCCACCATCCAGGCAGGCCAGGCCGACTAGGGGATCACCGCCGATACTGTTCCTCCCGATGTTGCCCCAGCTGCTAGTATTGCCCAACGTCTTTAGCCCGTGCACCAGGCTGTTCGGCCCTTGAGGGCCCCTGCTCCAGAGAGGTCTTTGCTCTGGGCACCATGAACGAGTTTCAGCCCCCACTTGGCCTAGCCAGGAGGGGGCAGGCTATGAGCAACCATGGTATCGCTACTCACCGCCTGGGGCAAGGACCGAAGCCGAAGCCAGGCCAATGCCCCTGCTGGGCCAACATTCCTCGGGCACGTGAAATTTGCAAAGGAGCGACTCCGATACCCCCGCCGGAGATCCTGACGGGTTGACAGACACCTCAACCGAAGAGAAAGGCCTGTGCACAAAAATGCACGAATTGCCCACTCGGCATGCCAGCGGGCCCGGCAGCGATGAAAGACCCTCACAGCCGCCTCCCCCATGTGACCTTCCGGATTTTTTTTCACTGGGTAGAGCGACCCCGTGGGTTGAGTGCCACGGTTAGCCGCCCAGCCCCAGCCCTCGCGGCATAGGGTGACCGCGCCTCGGGGTAACGGCCCCCTGCAGGGAAGGAACGCCCTGCAGAACCGCGCCCCAAGAACGTCTTCAGCCCAGTGGCGGTCAGCGCTAACGATTGCAAAGTCTTCTGCTTCAACACCACAGAGCAAGGCCCACAGGCCCGACGCTACCTCACGGCGAAGTATTACACTCACGCTGTCGCGGCCTTGGTCGAGACCCATCAGGGCAGGCAGGCCACGCCTCGGCATGAGATCGACGCCTGCGCGCCCCCCCGGGGCGCTCGCAGGACGGCTCGAGCGGCGGCGAGCGGATGCTCACGCACAAGTTTGTGGCCAGCCCCTCCTTCCAGCGCATGCGCGAGGCCGCTCGTGCTGACGGGCGGCAGGGCGCCCGCGGAGGGTTCGCCCCTTTGGCTCTGCATTTGATGACAGGGGACGTTTCGATCATCGCGGCCCACCTTCAACCTGGACTGCAGCTTCGCGACATCAGCCATGGGATCGCGGTCGCACTGGCTTCCTTCACTCGTGCCCTGGCTGACCCGCGGTTGGTCGCTGCTGCTTGATTTTGCGAGCCTCCCTCGCTGCGCGGTAGCGGTTGGGTTCAGAAGTTGCAGGCTCGAGCTGATGTTCTTGATTGTAAGGTTATGTGCGACAGAGGGCCTGGGGGTCAACGACTACGCGCTGGCCAGTCAGCGTTGCCCAGACCTGTCAATCAAGGGAGCGCAGAGCGCGCCGTGGAAAACTCACTGCGGGCTTCCCACGCCCATCCAGGGCGCTGGCGCCGAGCGCGGGGCCTCGAAACCCGCGGCGCCGAAGCGCTTGCCAGCTGCCGCTCGGCCACGCGCTGCCCTTCAGCAAGACAGCAGAAGGCAGCGACGACCGTCGGCTGCGAGCAGGCGCCGACGGGAGGCTCTCCCCGAACATCCCCAGGCGGAGTTCGACGCCGCTCAGGACCTCGTGGACCCCCTGGATTCCCTTGAGGGCGCCCCCCCTTTCCACGTCACTGAGGAGGTGTGGCTGCAGTCCTGCTTGCGCGCGACAACTGCCCACTGGCTGCCCTCGCCCTCCCGGCCGTGGCGGCGGCAGGCGGCTGCTTCGCATCTGAGCACCAGCGCGGGGCCTCCAGGCGCGCCCGCCTGAGAGCCTAGGGTCGGAGACCAGCTGCCCGCGCACCAGCGGCCAGGGATGCGCACCCCCCTGGGCGGCGCACTACGCCACGCCCCGCGCTAGTGGCCCAGGATGCGCATTCCCCGAGAGGGCGCGCCTCTCCGTCATCGGCGCCTGTGGCCTGGGAGGTGCGTTCCCCAGGGCGGCGCGCTATTTCGTCGCCAGCATCCGCGCCCCAGGATGCGCATTCCCTGGGAGGGCGCGGCATCTCATCTTCTGCTCCAGTGGCTCGGGGTGCGCATTCCCCAGGGCGGCGCGGCCCCCGTGGGAGGCCGGGTGCCCCTGTCTGCGCTGATGGTGGTCAGGGGGCCCTTGTCGTTGGAGGCGACGGAGCCCGCGTCGCGCGCGGCCCCGCTGATTTCGCAGAAGATGCCAGGCGCGCCGCTCGGGGCCGAAGACACCTCCCCCCCCCCCAAGACAGCGCTTAGACAGCCCCAAAGCCAGTCAAACGGAGCCCTGCGACATGCCATAGCCGGTTGGTTCAAGACGATCGCAACCCTTCTGCGACAGCGAGTCCCCCGCAAACCCCGACTGTCGTGTCATCCCAGCGCCATGGGCTGGGCAAGAGAACCTAAGCGCGCGCGAAGTGCGCGCGTGGTTTTATTGTTGTTGAAGACGCCTACGGCGAATCACCGCCGCCCCCTATTTTCTCTCATGTGGCCGAGCGTTGTGGCAAGAGCTCTGCCAAGCTATCGGCGTGTTCACCCAACCGTTGTGGAAACCCTTCGGGGAACACTTGGGATAGGATGGCGGGGAAGATCATGAGGAGGCGGAGGGGGAGGAGGAGGAGGAGGAGGAGGAGGAGGAGAAGGAGAAACAGGAGGACGAGGAGGGGGCATCTTGGGAGCCTCTGGGGAGACTCTTGGGGCCTCCTGGGAGTTTCCTGGGAGCCTCTTGGAGGCATCTTGGGGGGCATCCTTAGGCCTTTGGGGGCCTCTTGCTTTGGGGGCCTCTTGAGGTGCTCCAGGGCTGTCTTAGAGCCCATCTTGGGCGTCTTGGAAGCCTCTTGGGCAGTTTGGGGCCCTCTTGGGGCCGTCTTGGGGGTCTCTTGGGCCGTTTGGGGGCCATCCTGGAGGCCTTTTTGGGCGCTCTGGGGACGAACTTTGGGGGCTCTTGGGCCGTCGGTAGGCCGAAAAGAAGCAAATACCACAATCTTTCAAAAACCGAAGGAAATTCTTGACGCTTCGCGTATCCCCACCAGCCACCTTTCCCTCCCCCCCCTGCCTCCTGGCCTCGCCTCACGTGCTGTTCGGCCGGAGACTGGCGCCGCCTGGGCGACTTCTCCCCGCCGTTCCTGCGCCGTCCCGGGGCCGGTCGCCGCGCTCGTCCCCACCTGTCGGGATGCTCGGTTCGATCACCTGGTCGCGTTGTTCGCGTCCCCGCTTGTTGCCGTCTGAAGCTTGGCGCCTAAAGGGCGATCGATGTGGGTCATTTTGTCCCTTGCATGTGCACTCGCCGCTGCGGCGAACTATCTTCGTTCAGCGCCCCGAACGTTGCCCCGCTTCTTGACCTTCGTCCTGGAGCCACCGACCCCAAAAAAAATCCCCACCAGCCCATCCAGAAACGATGGCCATGAGAGCTGACGGGGAGAGAGAGAGAGAGAGAGAGAGAGAGAGAGAGAGGAAGAGGCACGCATAGTCAAACAGCGAGGGAGGCTCGGGAGGCGCCGTGGCCATGTCGAGCCGTCTTGGAGCTGTCTTGGGGCCGTTTGGAGCACCTTGGGAACCATCTTGAGCCAGCTTGGGCTATTTGGGCCATTTCGGAGGTCATTTTGGGCTCTCTGG